TGTCTCACTTATGAACGCAGGCTATTACAGGTAATAGGTAAATGCACATGTTCCAACTTACATACAAATTCCACGTGACAAACCTGTGGAGCCTATCTTGTTTGTAACCTGGAGACTGCCTGTACTTTCATGTACACTGCTGTGTGGGATTTCGTTGTATGTGAATACACCACAATTTACTTATTCACTCTGTTGTTCATGGACATTTGGTGGTTGTGAGTGTGGGGCTATTCCAGACGGTGCTGTGTGAACACTCTAGTTCAAGTCTCTTGGTGAGTGCAGGTGCGTGTACACACCTGTTAGTTGGCCAAAGGTGTTCAGCAGTCCACTCCCACTGGCAGCGTCTGGGTGTTCTACTTGCCCCGTGTGCTTGCCGACACTGGGCACTTGTCACTGTTGCCCTTCTGGCAGGTGTGCAAATAGTATTGTCTTGGTGGTTGAAGTCTGCATGTCCCTGATAACTAAGGAAAACGAGCACTGCTCCCTGTGTTTTAGATACTGTCTTTTGTGAAGTGTGTCGAGTGTTTTGCCAATGGTTCTGTCGGGTTGTCTTACTTATTTCTGCCTTCTTATTTTCTACCTTTTCATGCACTTAAAGATGAATACATGCTCATGGGTAAAAAATTTAACAAGTTACAGATTTCTTATATATTTTTATATGTTTTCTTATATATTTTTCCAGAGATATTCTATGGGCATGTATATATGTATACCCCTTAACTATGTGCTTTTACACAAATACACACAGTTTTATAATAGACTTAATATTCTTTGAAGACTATTCATATCAACTCACAAAAATTGGTCTCATCCTTTTTACAGTTGCAAAGTAGTGTTCCGTTTGTGAGTAGAGGGTACCTTATTTTATTTCACGTATTGACGGGCACAGAATGTGATACCAGCTTCTTGTTTCTACAAACTTTCCACTATCAATACAGACACAAACATTTTTGTACACATGGTGAGTAGGTAGGATAAATTCCTAAGACAGGCAGTGCTGAGTGAAAGGGTATGTGCACTTCAATGTTTGTATTGCTAACTGGGTTTGCAAAGAGCTGGACACATTACAACGGTGCTAATTTGTTTCACTTTGCCAACATGGGGTGCCTGTATTACTGAACTTTTGATTTTGGCCAGTCTAGTGAGTAAAAAAATGGTTATCTCCTTCAACTTTAAAATTTGCATTCACTTTGAAGGAGGCTGAGCATCTGAGTGCATAGCTGGAAAAAACTAGCTTCTGAAAGTTTGGTTTTGGTCTGAGGGGGAAACCAAATTAACCCTTGATATGGGATGTTCTATATTCTTGCACAAATAAGAAAGGTCAGGTTTCTGCTCCTAGGCCCTCAGTGAAATCAGGGAGAGGTTAAAAAACTGTGTTGAACTACAGTCTTAAACTAGGAAGAAACCTTATAATCCAGTCTAATCTCCTATTTTAGAGATTTCTTTTTAAAAGATGAGGCTTAAAGAAGGGAAATGACTTACGCAAGTCCACATATCAGTAGTGCTGAGAAAGAGAAGATGTTGGATAAGAGTTGAATTGTCACCTGCTACTATGCCTGTGAAATATTTTAAAGAATGATTTTATTGTACAGTTTCCTTTAGCGAGGGTGTCTTTTTAAAGTTACAGTAAATAAGCTCTACTATAAAAACATAGGCAATATAAACAAGTATAAAAGAAATGATAACTTCAGGACCCTCTAAGTTTATTATGCTAAGGGGGAAGTTAAGCCCCAGAGACTGAATCACTAGTGATTTCTGCTTCTCAGACTCTATAGATTAACCGATTGTTTTTGTTTGGTAAATGACTAGCAGAGACCAGGACTTTTCCCCTCCCAGTTACAGATCTTTCTTATAGATTACCTGCCTCCTTTCTAGTCCTGTATCTAATTCAGACCAGACAATGCAAAAGCCTCCATGACTGTTACATCAGTGAGAAATGTTAAATATAATTTTCCTGAAAGAAAAAGACCACCTCAACTAATTAGATTGTTGTAACTATGCATTAAGCCTTTAACATCTGTATAACAGATGTGGAAATTCTGTTAAGTTTCCCTACACTTTTTCTTTCTTTCTTTTTTTTTTTTTTGAGACAGAGTCTCCCTATGTCGCCCTTAGTAGAGTGCTATGGCAGCGCAGCTCACAGCAACCTCAGACTCTTGGGCTTAAGTGATTCTCTTGCCTCAGCCTCCCAAGTAGCTGGGACTACAGGTGCTTGCCACAATGCCCGGCTATTCTTTTGTTGCAGTTGTCATTGTTGTTTAGCTGGCCTCAGCCAGGTTTGAACCCAGCAGCCTGGGTGTATATGGCTGGTGCCCTACTCACTGTGCTACGGGTGCTGAGCCACCTTTTTTTTTTTTTT